TTTGCAAATTTTCAGTTTCTTCATCTGGGATTAGTTTTCATGCAATTTCCAGTTATACTGCCAATTCTATAGCTCAAATTTAGCAGTCTTCACCTCGAAAATCGCCAGCATTGATTTACTATCAAATGGGTAAGTTTGATCATCTTGTTTCCAATTGGGATTCTCAAATTTATTCTAATTTTGATCAGACCTTTACTTATTGGAAGCAAATTTTAAATTTTCATTTTATAAGTTCAATTTCCAGTATTTATTTTGAATTGGGTAATTAATTGAATGTGGATTTTTAATGTTGATGGAAGAGAAAATCAGATGGTGTCTCAGTTTTTAGTAATTGCAGTATCTGTTGCAACTTTTAGATTCTCATTGTTATGGATTTCTGAATTTTACCAATTTACACATTCTTATTCTCAGTTCTTAGCTAATTGCAGTTTTTGTTGCAACTTGATAGCATCTGAGTAGTGTTCATTATATTGAATATTTCGGTTTTCGAAGTCGATTATACTGCTTTACACATTCCTATAGTTGGGTTCTTTCTCTGATACTCAGGAAAGTAGTGTATTTTTTCATATCTTGTCTGCTTGCATTGCAGATCGTTCAATGGGGAAAAAATGTAAGCATAGAATCTTGATGGTGTCAGATTTTTTCTACCCAAATTTTGGGGGAGTTGAAAGTCACATTTATTACCTATCCCAGTGTTTGCTTAAACTTGGTCACAAGGTAAGTGAAGCGTTATTGTTTGTGGTTTTTTTATCAGTTTTGCTGGTAGAGTAGTCATATGAAAGTAGTGAAATTCTTGGATATCGCGCTCATTTTGCTTACTTTATGCAAGATTGTTAGTAGGGAGAGTATCGAGAAGAGATTATCATTTGCTTTACTGTTCCTGATTTGTGGATTGTTTTATTTTATGTTGGCCCCAATTTTATGCTAATTGGTGAACTGTTGATGTTATATATCTTTTGGATGGGAAACTATTGAAGGTTTAAGTTGGCGTAGTTTGTTGATAGGATTGTGATGATATTTTTTTACTGGTGTGTGACAAAACAATTTTGATGGTTTTTGGAAAATTTGTAGGTTGTAGTTTTGACTCACTCATATGGAAATCGCTCTGGGGTGAGATATATGACGAATGGCCTGAAGGTTTATTATGTTCCATGGAAGCCTTTATTCATGCAGAGTGTATTACCCACGTTCTCTGGTACACTTCCTATTATGAGAACTATTTTTGTCCGAGAGAAGATTTCATTGGTCCATGGACATCAAGCCTTCTCAACTTTCTGCCATGAAGCTCTAATGCATGCACGTACTATGGGATACAAAGTTGTTTTTACTGATCACTCCTTGTACGGCTTTGCTGATGTTGGTAGTATACACATGAACAAAGTCCTACAATTTACCTTGGCAGATGCAACTAAAGCAATTTGTGTCTCCCATACAAGCAAGGAAAATACAGTGCTAAGGTCAGGAATTCCTGCTGAAAAGGTATATGTGGTACCAAATGCTGTTGACACTGCTATGTTTAAGCCTGCACCCGAACGACTTTCAAGAGACCAAATTGTCATTGTTGTGATAAGTAGATTGGTATACCGAAAAGGTGCAGATTTGCTTGTTGAAGTCATTCCTGAAGTTTGTCGTCTACATCCCAATGTTAGTAATATGAAATTTTTTATATGTTTTGGAATTAGTATTAGTGTTTGTCCTCCTAGGTCAGAACTTATCTCAATTCAAAATTGGTTTGAAATTTTTTTCATGCATAGATTTTAGTTACATAATTCATTTGCTTTACATCTTTGATTTTTACTATTAACAATTGTTGTCAACTGATCATCTCAGGTTCGTTTCATTGTTGGAGGTGATGGCCCGAAAAGAGTACGGTTAGAAGAGATGCGAGAAAAACATTCTCTTCAAGATAGGGTTGAAATGTTGGGTGCCGTTCCTCATTCTCAAGTTCGATCTGTGTTAATATCTGGACATATTTTCTTGAACAGGTAGCTCGTCTCCTTTAGAATCAGAGGGTGAGAAAATTTCACTTTGTTAGAGGATTTACTTGCTTTTGTACCTCTAGACTCTATTTTGAATTTGAGGAAGTGTTAAATTTCTTGACGGCCTCTCATTTTCAGGACTTTTTCTAACAGCTGGTTTTCTTATATTTGGGATGAATCAAACATTTCAATTGTTGCTTGATTTCATTTAACAAATGGAGACTGGCTTTCAAATGGCTTAAAAATTTACATTTGAGGTTAATATGAGAAATCATGAGTAGATAGATGGCAGTTGTCTCTCTTTCAAAAGCTTTGGACTACAGTTGATTAAACTTGTCTACCTTAGCTACACTTGATGAGTTGCTTGCTGAGGAAAATATTCGCTTACTCTTCATGGGTTTCTGAGGCTGAAACGAGTATTTCATTTGGTAATCTACATATTATGGAAGTAAATAATTGAGCGCTTACAATTTGAGTTATTCTTCTAATTTGATTGTAGAATTTCGGAAGTGGTTGAACTTAGGTGTTCCTAATACCTTAAGTATATGATTAATTTGCAAGATTAGTTGAAATTACCCTTTTTAGCCAATAACTTGTTTCTAAGTAACGTGTTGGATTGATTCACCAGAGTAAACGTCAATCAATGAGGAACTTTGTTTATTTCATTCCATTTGTTTGCGATAATGTGGTTTTTGAAGCAAATGAGACCTAATGCTTAAGATTTGAAGCTTCCTCTTTTCTTTTCTCTTCTGCAGTTGTTTTGACCCTCCTGATGGTCTAACATCCATTGTTGTCTTATTGTTTTCCGCCATCTGATTTCTCTGCTCTGAACTTCTGGATAGCTCTTTAACTGAAGCATTTTGCATAGCTATATTGGAAGCAGCTAGTTGTGGATTGTTAACAGTCAGCACACGTGTAGGAGGTGTCCCTGAGGCAAGTTTTATGAGTTTTTTTATGCATCAATCTGCATCTCCCCTCATGTTTATCATTCTTGCCTTTTAACCAGCCTTTGTCTGTAAATAAAACAAAATTTTCTACTTTGAAGAGATATATTTGTGTTGACTAAATACTAGGGTATGGATGTATGATTCATGTTTTCATTACCCATGCTAAATTTTCTTTTTCACTTATTAGGTTTTGCCAGATGACATGATCGTACTTGCAGAACCAGACCCTAGAGTTATGGTGCAAGCTGTTGGAAAGGCGATAACCATGCTCCCTAACATTGATCCGCAAGTTATGCACCTTCGAGTGAGTACAATATAATTATATTAGTTCCCCCCTCCTCCCCCCGGTCCCTTCTTTTCTCTCTGCTGATGTCATTATTTCCTGTTGCTGCTAGATGAAAAGGCTATATAGTTGGCATGATGTTGCTAAGAGAACAGAGAGAGTCTATGAACGGGCTCTGAAGTGTGCTGATCAAAATCTTCTTGAACGGCTTTCAAGGTAATGCTTGATGAAAATGCATGCTTCAAAGGTAGCATGTAAACTAAACCATTGAAAGACATTACTGACTGGTGTGCTCAGTATCTCTTTGATGTTTGAATTCTATGCTGTTAATTCAGTCTATTTTAAAAAATTATAACAAAAGAGAGCAGAAAGTCATCATTTGCATGGTGGGAACTTAGATGAAAGAGTGCTGCATCTTCTTAATTTGGACATCAAAGTCTGTTGTGATTGCACCTGTAGTTTTTCCCTAGCCCTCTATGCTTGACTAAAGAAATGATCAGATGTTACAAATGCATTTTCCTGAACCCAATTAATGTCGATGTATCCCTTTTTTTTCTTCTTTTTTTTTTCTCCTGTTACAGGTTCACCCTTTTTTTTTTCTTTCTTTCTTTGGGATCATTTCGGTCTGCTATCCTTAGAGTCCTTTTGGCAGATTGCAAGATAAAGTTAAGTGTATCGATTGTTTTTCTTATGATCGATTTAAAATTAAACAGGTACCTTGCTTGTGGTGCATGGGCAGGCAAGCTTTTCTGCTTGGTTATGATTATCAATCATCTTTTTTGGTGTCTGTTGAAACTATGGCAGGTATTTACTCAACTCCAACATTGTATTGGAATTTTGATTGTTTTGACATTATCTTTGATATTATAGTCTTTTCATATCACCACATTTTGCTTTCAGCCTGACGAGGAGATTGAGGAGGCTCCAGATGTTCAATTATCTCATCAGCTGGATTATATATCAGAGTAATCTACTTAGAACAGAAACATGGAATGTGTAATCTGTACATAATTCATCACTAGCTCATCGCTGAAAGCTCACGTCTGTCAATCTACAGCAAATTTCAAATACAGCACAATGCAAAGAAGTCCACCTGTAGGCGTTTGTACTTTGTAGTTTCCAACTTTATATAGATATTAGACATCCTAATTTTTCTTTTACTTTCTCTAACAGTTTTGTGGTTAATACTCTATACTTTGTATGTCCTTAGGCGCAATGTAAGTAATTTAACTGATGATTTTACCAAAAACCACAGTGTTTCATTTTGTCAAGTTTCAAGGATTTATAGATACATATTTTTCATCTCTTGAAGATAGTTCATGAACTATAAATTCTTCAGGTGTATTTTTATTTATTTATTTTTTTTCTAGTATATATATTTGATAAAAAAAATCTTTTTAGCTAAAATATACGAAGTAAAAAACTTGATTTTTAAAGTTAAAACAAATTACAGACTTGCACTAAATCAAATTAGCCAAGGTACAATATTGACACGACAATTACTCTGGTTGAGAGTTCAGTTGCATTTAATCAAATCAAACGTTTCATTTTCACAAAAATATTTCCATCTTCTCATGGTTAACTACATACATTTATATGGAAATATGATTTAATTGCAATTTAATCAACACCTCTTCACTTCCTCTTCCATGCTCACGTAACTGCAATACTAAACTGACTACCTTAAAACACCCTTTAAATACCAACCCCTTCACTCCATTATTCTTCACATCTTTCTCTATCTTCTCTCACACGTACAAATACACGAGGGCGCTTGCACAAACACATACCATGGCACAGTCCCTAAGAATCCTCACCACAATTGTGGTAGTATTCACTATAATATGCTCTTTAACAGCCACCAAAGCACGTCCTATACTTGTTGATCTTAGTCCTACTGAGTCGAGCACGTTAGTGGCTCGACTAAACTTGGCTGGCCACTCGACAAGCTGCTGGGAGTCCTTGTTCAAGCTCCAATCTTGCTCAGGGGAGGTGTTCCAGTTTTTCTATGATGGGAAAACCTATTTGGGCTCAGATTGTTGTCATGCAATTATTATCATAGTCCAGGATTGTTGGCCCGCTATGCTAGGCTCATTGGGCTTTACTGCAGAGGAAGGTGATATTCTTAAGGGTTATTGTGATGCTGAGGAGAATAATCCAAGCCCAAAACCACCAAGCCCACCTCACGCTCCCGGGCCCGTTAAGTACTGAGTGATGGATTAAGATTAATTAATCATGTTTAGTTAATCTTTGATAATTAGTTTGTGTTTGGTTCAAAGTGTCTGAAACCTTTTTGGGTAGGTGTTTCTTTTTTAGGTGACTGAAGATGAGGGTGTGTTAGGTAAGGCTACTTAAAAAGAAATTACCTTAGTTATTTGCTTAATAAAATTTTGATCTTCTTGATCATAATTGTTCTTGTTTTGCTTCAGTCTTTGAAAGTTTCAATCAAACTCTTATAGTTATTTTTTTTTTTTTTGTTTGAGTATTATTTATTTCATATTATTTCATTCTTGTTATTTCGAAATTGCAATTAATCTCTCTCATTACTCTAAAGTAGTTCTTGTATAGTTGTTCCCTTAGTGGATTATATTCAAGCTACATACCTTGAATAATACGAAGTAAGTCTTTTGAGGGGGGACTTTGTATTTAAAATTAAATATCGTATATTATATGTATCATTGTCTTTCGCAACTTCTTGAACATATAATTGTAAGCAATGTTCACATTTCCATAATTGGAAAAAGATGAGACAATCAAAAGTAATGTGAATGCTTAATTTACAAAAGTGGCATTAAAGTAATACAAATAATAAGCGAAAACAAATCTAAAAGCAAAAGAAAAGTGTGATTGAAAAGAGAAGGCAAGAAAAGGGGATATTCAACAGATCCTTCAAAGTATGAAATAATTAATCTATTGAATAAGACAAGATTACTAGTACACTACTAGTCTACCACCAAATTTGTGCTTAAATTATGAAAATTAACAATTCAACTGTGTTTGATAATCTTAAAGACAAAGAAATTTGGAAGGGGTAGGTACTGTACTAGGTAGTCATTTCAAACTTGTCTCTCCAAATTTGTATACTAGTACAATGATTGATTAATATGATTTTATTGTTTTATAAAATACATAGATTTTCTTATTAGGTCGATGTCTAATAGCATGGAACGAATTTTTAGCCTCAAAATTACGTGCATGTTGAGTTCCTCACCATTTTTAGATTCTCAGCAAGCTTGCTAGGTTGATTTCCGAAATCTAAAATGAGAGGCAGCAAAGAAGATGCTGTTGATTACAAGTTTTCTAATGGTGATGAAGATCAACAATTTGATGATGATGGCAAGCTCAAGAACTGGTAGTACTTTTTTTTTCTTTTCTTTTTTTTCCCCTCTATTTATTATTTGATTTGGATTTAAGGTCCTTCTCCTTGAATGAATCAGGTATGTATGATCTCAATATAGTAAGCTTGACCATACCCTTTACGGAATAAGGCTTTGTCGTCGTTGTTATTGTTGTTGTTGTTGTTGTAAGCTCATAATGGGTTTGGGGAGCAATGAATCTAGTATCTGTAATGCTTGAAAAAAAAAAGAAAGAAAAGAAAAAGAGATAACATAATTATATTGGCAATTTTGGCATTAGCGGGTAATATTGCAGTGGTACATACGACCGATTAGTAGTCCATGGAAATTCTAAATGTAGTACCTTGTAAAAAAATGTGGTTGAATTTCAGAAGTAAAATTTTCAAAAATGAATTTTTTTTCTCATGTATGGTATATTTGTTTCCTAGGAATTGGAGTGTTGTTTGGTTGAAGATGCAAAATTACTTAGGGCTAACTAGGTTATCAAAGTCGCACATTTTGATATAGCTATTTAATTTCAAAGTCATTGTTGAATGATAATTTTGCAGGGACTGTATGGACAGCAAGTGCACACATTATAACATCAATCATAGGAACTGGAGTTCTTTCACTAGCATGGGGCACGGCACAGCTTGGATGGGCAGGGGGACTCGTGACACTAGTAACGTTTTCGTTCATCACGTATTATACTTCAAATCTCCTAGCTGATTGTTACAGATTCCCTGACCCTGTCACTGGAAAAAGAAATCATTCATATATGGAAGAGGTTCGCGCCAATTTAGGTACCATCCATCTACACAAGTTATAGCACGTACGTCCTTAGTTCATCAAATAATTCTCCTGACCTTAAGTTTTTTATCATTAGGCAGAGTAAACTGCATTGCTTGTGGGATAGTGCAATATGCCAACTTAAGTGGAATGGTAATTGGTTACACGATTAGTGCATCGATAAGCATGGTGTAAGTCCATCTATTCTGAGTTCCATCTCACAGTTTTTGAATGCACATTAAAAGTGTTTATAATTGCATAAAGCTTGCAAATTTATGTTCATTGTCGAAAATTTTGCAGGGCAGTGCACAAGTCTAACTGCTTCCACACAAAAGGCCATTCTGCTTCTTGCAAGTTTAGCAATAATCCTTATATGATTGGTTTGGGAATATTTGAGATATTTTTGTCACAAATTCCTAACTTTCATAAGCTCACATATTTGTCAACTATTGCCGCGATTATGTCTTTTGGGTATTCCTCAATAGGCATTGGACTTGCTCTTGCCAGGATCATCTCAGGTAATTATTCTACTTTTAATAGCGCAAAGAGTTAATAGCTGATTGAAATTTCAGTGAGTGATGTCATTAATTTGACTGTGTAGGCAAAGGAGGGAGTACAACTTTAACTGGAGTGGAGGTAGGCTTAGATGTAACAGTTGCTGATAAAGTATGGAGGACATGTAGAGCCCTTGGAGATATCGCGTTTACATACAGTTTCTCTGCAGTCCTTGTCGAAATACAGGTGAATTTTTGTGCATCAAACCTATATTTCAATGAAAACTTATGTCCATTTTTTCTGATTATGCACAATAATCACAATGACTTACTAAAGTCTGTGATATGACCTTAGGACACGCTCAAATCGGAACCACCAGAGAATAAGGTAATGAAGAAGGCCAATGCAATATCAGTGTTCACAACCACAACATTTTACATGATGTGTGGTACCTTAGGCTATGCTGCATTTGGGAATGATGCACCTGGTAACATGTTAACTGGATTCGGGTTTTATGAGCCTTTTTGGTTAGTAGACTTGGCCAACATCTTCATCGTTATTCATTTAGCGGGCGCATATCAGGTATAAAACAATAATTAATTGCGGTTATAAGTGATACAGGTCACTTCCATATAGTAATTGTGTATTTAATTGAGAAATGATACTCTCGGGTGCACCATACATATGCACGATTGCATTATGATTCGAAATTTTCTATAATGGGTCAGGTATTTACTCAGCCTGTATACTTATTGATCGAGTCATCGGCCCAGAAGAAATGGCCCAACTCAATGTTTGTCAACTCAGAGTACCCCATCAAAATTGGCAACAAAACGGTGCTAAGCCTAAACTTACTTAGGCTAACTGCAAGAACCATGTTTGTGGTGTTAGCAACTACATTAGCAATGGCAATGCCCTTCTTCAATGACTTCCTCGCATTGCTTGGATCAATCGGGTTTTGGCCACTGACCGTATATTTCCCAGTGGAGATGCACATTGCTCAAAGAAAGATCAAACGACGGTCAATGAAGTGGTGTATGCTACAACTTCTTAATTTCCTCTGCTTGCTTGTTTCCTTGGCTGCTGCTGCTGGGTCTATCCAGGGGGTTAGCCAAGGTCTTCGTACGTCCAAGCCTTTTCAATATAAAGTATAAATTACCAAGTAATAAACTTGGTTTTTTCGAAGTTATAACAAGTCTTGTATCTACTATACGCCTTTACCATTTAATTATTGATACTCAAACCTAACTCTATATATGACATTATCCAGACTATCTAATGTATTATTTTTCTTAACTTTAAAAAAAATACATGACGTTATCCATGCTCGTACGTAATTAGCCAAGTTACAATATGGACATGACAATCAACATAGGTCATAACCAGTCTAAGGCCCAGTTCTTTTGAACTGTTCTGCTGTGCTTTGTTAAGCTCTGCTCTGCTTAAAAATAATAATTAATAATAATAATAATAATAATAATAATAATAATGCCCGATGGTGGTATTCATCCTATTGTTATGGGTACTGTTTGGCGGTGTCTGATTTCGAAGGTGGGTGCCGTTATGGTTGGCCAGTTTTTAGGAAGTTACTTTGTTGGTCTTCAATTTGGTGTTGGGGTTTCTTCGAGTGGCGAGGCAATTCTTCATGCAGTGAATCGGTTGATTGAGGACCATGGTTCTGATGTTGGTCTTTCTACGTTGTTGGTTGATTTTCAAAATGACTTCAATCTAGTTGATCGCTTGTTCATGTTACGTGAGGTTCGTCGCCGTTGTCCAGGTATTTCGTGATGGGTTGAATTATGTTATTCTAATCTAGCCAGATTGTATTATGGGGACCAAACCTTATGGCCGTCTTAGGGGGTGCAGCAGGGTGATCCCCTTGGTCCTTTGCTTTTTACTTTGGTTTTACAACCCCTGGTGTGTTAAATGAGAGACACTTTTGATGTATGTCTTCAGACTTGGTATTTGGATGACGACACTGTTATTGGGGACACGTTGGTGGTGGGAAGGTTTTGCAGTTGATTATGGAGGAAGGGCCTCGTTCTGGGCTATATCTTAACGTGGAAAAAATTGAAGTTTTCTGGCCTACAGAAGACCCTCGAAGCACACTTGTGGGTGTCTTTCCACCTAATATTGCTCGACCTTTGCGTGGTGTTAAGTTGCTTGGTGGTCCCGCTAGTTCTGATTCTGGTTTTAGTGGTGAGCTAGTGATGTAGAGGGTGACCAAGACAATTGCGCTTATGAATAAGGTTGCTATGCTGGATGATCCTCGGTGTGAGCTGTTGTTACTTAGGGCATATACCGGAGTTTCTAAACTCTGTTTTGCATTGCGTACTTGTCCTCCAAGTACTTTTGAGGCTGCTCAGCGTATATTCGACGGGGCTCTTCGATCTTCCTTGGAGCGTATTGTTACTGCTTTGGGGCCTGGGTTTGGCGATTGGTAGTAGCGGCTTGCCACCTTATCATTTGCTTTTGGAGGGCTTGTGTTTATGCCGCAGGTGATGTTCGTCATTATGCTCTTCATGCTTCTCGATTACAGTCTGATGGGTTACAGACACAGCTTCTACGGCATGCTGACATTGTTAGTCTTAGACGAGCCTTTACGGATGCGTTGCGTTTTTTTAATGGAACTGTGGAGTCTGACATCGTGAGTAATCCTAGTGAGGTCGCTGCCCAAAAACTCATGAAGAAATTGGCAGATATATATTTCACAAAGGTTACCGCTTCTGCAGAATCCGCCTATTCTTTAACTCCTCAATAATCAGCATTGTGGAAATCACAGCAGGGAGACCACACCTCTACTTGGCTTCGGGCGATCCCTATTTTGGGGTTGGTCCAGACGATGAACGCTAAGACTTACCGATGTGTGCTGTGCTACTGGTTGGGTGTTCCATTGTTCTCTATCATGACGCCATGCTCTTCTTGTTCAAGGGTTTAGACTGGGGATATTTTCGGTGTCATGCGGTGTCTTGTGCTGGCATTGTGGGGATTAAACATCGGCATAATGTTGTTCGGGATACCCTTGTTGATGTTTGTCATTGGTCAGGGATTTCAGCTAGAAAGGAGGTGGACATTGGGTTGTCTAGAGGGAATGATAGGACCCTCAGACCTGCAGATGTGTTACTTATTCCTGGGATCGTGGTCGCGATGTTTGTGTTGACTTGACAGGGTCTTCTCCTTTGACACAGTGTGGGCTATCTGACTTTGTTCTTGGACGAGTTGTGGCTGATGCGGCCCATCGGAAGCGAGTCAAGTACGAATCCAGTTGTCAAGCAATTGGATATAGCTTCCTTCCTTTCTCTTTCTCTTCACTTGGGGAATTAGAAAGGGAGGTTGTTGCATTGCTGAAGCGGATCCAGAAGTTCTTGAAGACTCAGGATATTGGGGCACGTGCTGCTGCTCATATCTTCACTTGGATAGGTTTTGCTATAGCTAGAGGAGTGGGAACCCAGATTGTATCCCGGATTCCCACTAATTTTTTGTAGGTTGTATGACTTTATCTATTTTTGAGATATAATAATAATAATAATAATAATAATAATAATAATAATAATAATAATAATAATAATAATAATAATAATTAATATTTAATAATAATAATAATAATAATAATAATAATAATAATAATAATAATAATCTGATCTGCTCTACTCTGCTGATCCCTGCCCATAAGCTCAAAAGAATAGGGCCTAAGAGAGTTCAATTGCATTTAATCAAACAAAACGTTTTATCGTTATTTTAATAATTTTACATCTTCTCATGGTTAATTTACATACATTTATAAATGATGAAAATGCGAACTAGTTGTACTTAAGTTAACGCCTCTTCACTTCCTCTTCTATGCTTCTGCCTTATGTTATGTACGTAACTATAACTCTAAAGTGACAACATTAAAACATACTATAAATATCAACCCCTTCATCACTCCATTATTCTTCACCTCTATGGTTCTATCTCTATATTCTCTTATACACTGATACACACACACGAGCGTACGTGTACAAACACATACCACGGCACAATCACTAAGACTCTTTACCAAAATAGTGGTAGACTGGTAGTACTAACAATATGCTCTTTAACAAGGACTAAAGCACGTCCTATACATGTTAATCTAAGTCCTATCGAGTTGAGCATGTTAGTGGCTCGATTAAGTTTGGCCGGCCATTCGACGAGTTGTTGGGAGTCCTTGTTTAAGCTCCAATTTTGCTCAGAGGAGGTGTACTAGTTTTCGGAAAAACCTCTTTGGGCTCAGATTGTTGTCATGCAATTATTATCATAGTCCATAACTGTTGGCCCGCTATGCTATTCTCATTGGGCTTCATCCAAGTCCACCTCACGCTCCCAGGCCCGTTAAGGATAAAGTGATGGATTAAGGTTAATTACTACATAATCCCTTTTTTTTTTTTTTTTTTTTTTTTTTTTAAAGACAAACACGAGAGAATCAATTTATTAAATCAAGCTCCACCAAAGATATAAAACATTGGGGGATAGAGTTCGTACATATACATTCAAAAGCATCACCCGTATCCCATCTCGCAGCAAGATGGGCAACGATATTCCCCGTCCGTCTAACATGAACACAACTAAAATTAACAAAATCAACACACACCCTATGAATATCCTCATAGAAGAGAAATAAAGGAGCATCCCCTTCTTGTCTTTGTCTGATAGCACAAACAACAAAAAGTGAGTCCGATTCAAGGATCACATTAGCATAGCCCAGATTTCTAGCAAGCTAGACACCGTATCTTGCAGCAGCAGCTTCGGCCATAGAAGGCCCCCATCGACACGTTGTTTCCCTTGCTGATACAGTCGGAATCTTACCCCATTCATCCCTAATGACAGCACCAAAGCACACCCCAACATCTCTCGGCACGTAAGCATCGACATTGACTTTAATGAAGTTTCGATTAGGCGGCAACCAAGCAGCTCTAGAGAAAGAAATTGGAGGAGCAATTCTCCCTCCTACCTTGGCATTCTAAATAGCATACTCTTCACATAGCCTGGTAAAACCCGCAGCAACCATTACCCCATTAACATCATTTGCCCCATCAAAGATTACCTTATTTTTGCAGTGCCACGTAGCCCACCCAAGGCACAAGCACTTACGAAGCTTTGCCTTGTCAAGCTTACCTATTAACCAACAAAACAAATCTTGGAAAGAAGAACATGGTCCATCCAAAATAAGTTGCTGCATCCCAATATGCTGCCATATAGCTTATGCAAACTTGCAATGAAATAAAGAATGGAGTATTGTTTCTCTAGCTGCCCCACACATCGAGCACACACTTGTAGGCCTAATCTGACGAGCATACATCACATCCATCACCCCCAGCGAACCTTTACATGCTCTCCACACGAAGTGATTTAATTTCGGGGGACCTCCCAAATTCCAAACTTCTCTCCACAGCTCGTGCTCCCTATCTCCATGAAACAACTCCCAAGTTCTCACATTTCCCATTCTGCCTAGCCAGTACGCAAATTTGACAGAAAACAAGCCATCTTTAGTAGGCCACCAAAATTTCATGTCTCTTGTCCATGTATTCGGAAGTGGAATATTTAAAATTGCCATGCAATCCTCCTCCATAAAAATATCAGCACTTAACTCAGAATACCAGCACCTATTGTCAAAATCAATAAGCTCATTCACTCTTAAATCAATGTCACATTGTAATTAGGGAGTCGGAGTAGAATGTGAATCATTATCAATCAATTAACCAAGCATCTTCCCAGGCTCTAATACTAGCCCCATTCCCCACTCTCCACCTTAAACCTTCAAGACGTACAGATTTTGCCCCCCCAAATGCTCCTCCATGTATAACTGGGATCAAATCCTCTTGCTGCCCCGCAAAAATCAGAATATTTAAAATATTTCGCCTTAAGAATTCTTTGCAACAGAGAGTTATTTTCACCACATAATCGCCACCCTTGTTTTGCAAGGAGGGCTTGATTGAAGCATTTCAAGTCCCTAAAACCCATACCACCCATTGACTTAGGAAGACAAAGATCCTCCCATCGGTGCTAATGAATTTTCCTATTCGATCCATCGAAACCCCACCAAAATCGAGCTAAAATTGATTGAATTTCATCAATAAGACCATCTGGAATTCTGAAAATACTCATCATATAAGTTGGGATAGCTTGGGCCACGACTTTTATCAACACTTCCTTCCCCGGGCGAGATAACAATTTTTTCTTCCACCCGTGCAATTTCTTCCAAATACGCTCCTTGAGACAAGTAAATATGGCCTTCTTTGATTTCCAAATAATAGTAGGGAGCCCCAAATACTTCTCATGCCTACCAACCTCTTTAACACCAAGAGTCTCAACAATCACCTATCTTCTCTCCGGATCCACACATTTGCTAAAAGCTACTTCCGTCTTGCTTAGATCGACTTTCTGACCGGAAGCTCTTTCATATATACTAATTATATTAGCTATTTTAGAGCATTCTTGCAAACTAGCTCTGGCAAATAAAATGCTATCATCCGCAAAGAAAAGGTGTAACACCCTCAGAGCACCCCTAAAAACACGAGCCCATGAATCAACTTTTCCGAAGCAGCTTTAGAAATCAGAGTAGAGAAAGCTTCGGCACAAATCAGAAACAAATACAGAGAGATTGGATCCCCCTGACGGAGCCCCCGAGAAGGATTAAGACACCCTGTAATGCTACCGTTATACTTAAATGAGAGAGACACTCGTTAAGCATTGCATTATACGATTAATCCACGCTACCTGGAACCCTATTTGCATCACACCTTCTCAATAAACACCCACTCCACCCTTTTGTAAGCCTTGCTCATATCAAGCTTTAGAGCCACAGAACCATCACGCTCCTCACCCTTATCAATTTGGGCATAGAATGAAAAAATTCAAAGGTAACCAACGCATTATCAGTTTTCAAACGCTTCGGCACAAAAGCACTTTGATTTTCTGAAATAATAGAACCAAGCATGGGCTTTAGCTTATTTAATTTGCAAGAGTTTTAGATATAATCTTATAGATCACATTGCATAAACTAATAGGCCTAAATTCAGACATGTGTTTAGGATCATCACATTTAATTTCGGAATGAGAACAATGCAAGTCTTGTTTACCTCTAAAAGGTCGATTTCTCCCCCCCACCAAGCTTTCACAAAGCTAACGACATCACCTCCAATAATTCCCAAAAATTTCTGGAAAAACAAAGCATGCATACCATCCAGACCCGGGGCTTTATTTGGGTGCATTTGAAACAAAGCATCTTTTATTTCCTCCGCCGTCGGCTCCATATCAAGAATATCTCCCATTTCATCCGAAACAACTCTTTCAATACCCACTAGAGCCTCATCCATATTACTTGGCATTCCAGTAGTAGCAAAGAGGCTACCAAAATAATCAATGATCACCGTATTCATATTAGCCTTCGATGACATCCACGAGCCCTGATCATCAAAAATTCCCACAATCCTATTTTTCTTCTTTCGCTGACGTAATCTTGTTTAGCTAATCTTTAAAACAATTAAAAGTTAAATTTATTTAGTTCAAAATGCTTTGTTTGAATGTGTTTGACTTTCATTTGATTCACTTAGCTTTGTTGAATATTAAATACAAAGTATAACCTCTTTTTTTTTTTTTTTTTTTTTTTTTTTTTTTTTTTGGTCAAAAAAATAAAAATTAAAAAAAATGCTTGAGTTTTTTTTGGGTTAAGGTTTTCTTGTTATATCTTTTTTAGGTGTTTGATTAATGATGAGGGTTTGTAAGATAATGCTACTTCAAAAGAAATGAACTTTCGCTATAGTTATCTAATTGTTATTTACATAATGAAATTTTGATCTCACTACTAGAAAACAGGCCATTTTCGACGGCAAAATTCCGTCGGAAACACCCTTAAATCTTGATTAGAGGTGTTAATTCGGATAATTGGATCGGGCCTGATAAGGTCGGATCAGGTCGGGTCAATTTTTAAAGTTGAGTCATGCTTAATTAATATGTCCACGCGAGTCCAAATTTGAATTGGATATTTTTCGGGTCGATTTCGAATCGGGTCAGATCGGGTGTGGTTTTGACACCTCTATTGATAGTAATATTTTCTTGTTTTGCAAGACAATTTAAATTTCAATCAACTCTTTAGTTTTTATTTTATTTTTTTAATTTTATTTTGAAAGAAAGGTAAACAAGAAGTTAATATAGTCTTCTCTCAAGACTATACCCTAACTTATCACAATCAATTCTTTGGTTGTTGTTGCTAATTTGAATATTACTTTCTTTATTTCATAATATAGCTTGTTTGTAATTTCCAAATTGCAATTGATCTCTCTTAATAAATGAACATAAATATTAAATATTGTTTGTATAAAATTTTCCATCTTGTAAAGTCTATTGATAGGCTTTAATAATTGAGTACGGATTAACATATACTCGTGTCGTCAATATCATCAATGTCTTTTTGTAACCTCCTAAACATCCGGGGTGAAAATTAATCATTCATTTATACTTTTTTGTAATAGGAAAACGATGAAATGATGAGAAACTCAAAAGTAATGCGAACATGTGACTTACTAATAAATGTGGCATAAAAGTAGCAGAAAAGATAAAGTAGATAAAAAAAGAAGCAAGAAAAGGGCAAATTGAATAGATCCTACAAGGAATGAAATAATTTTCGACTAAGGCATGAGTACTAGTCCACTATACCAACTTTATGCTTAGCATATGATAAATTTTTTTTGATAGATCTTTGAAGACCATGGAATTTGGAAGGGGTTGGTCACTTGGTCCTAGCTAAGGTAGTCTATCAAAAGTGGGCCTCTTAATGTAACATTATATTTGATAGATCTTTCAAGACCATGGAATTTGGAAGGAGTTGGTCACTTGGTCCTAGCTAAGGTAGTCTATCAAAAGTGGGCCTCTTAATGTAACATTATATTTGTCCCTTCAAAATTGGTTACATTGATTGATTAAAATGGTTTTGTTGTTTTATAAAAATATAAAATGTTTATTTTTGTAAACAACAACAACCAAAAAAAAAAAAAAAAAAGTTGAATTTTCTAAGATCCATTTGGACCACTACATTTTATTCCTCCAAATTTGGATACAATGATTGATTACAATGGTTTTGTGGTTTTATAAAACGTTTATTCTTTTTATTTTATTTTAATAAAAATATTATTTAAATATTCTAAGTTCCACGCTTGAGAGTATGATTTGAATTTCTAATTTTTTTATTTTGACAGAGACTCAAATTTCCTATCTTAATGACATGGTGAGTTTCTCACCATTTTCAATTTTTTCATCAAGCTTGTTTGGTTGATTTTTCAATTTTATACTAACTTTATGTAATAATATTGAATAATACTTAGATGGTAAATTTGTATAAGCCCAATTTAAAGCAAGTACCATGTAAATGCTCTATAGCCCCTATACTAATCGGTTAGTTTAAGATCTATCTTGAATAATTTTTTGCATACAAACTTTTTTTAAGATAAAAATCAGGTGTACATTAGTTGTAATTTGTAAAAATACCTTAAAATGATTAAAAACTACACCGATATAAATAAGAGTTACCTTGATATATATAAATAAGACTTATATATAAGAGTTACTCAATTGTATTCCCTTTATAAAACTTATTCTTTAATCTATTTACGTCAAAATCATATCAAGTTAAGTTTAAAGTTGCCCTCAAATTTAAAAAAACGCCAGGAATTACCCTAAATTGACTAAAGGTTACGGTACATGTGTTCAATAATTACTGTAAACTAATATTGTTGTAAACCAGATATACACAAATATTTTTATTTATACTCTAATATTTCCACGTGTTGTAACACACCGCATAAATTATAAGCAACGACCCGGGATATATTTCTAGTCACTAGTTTTTTTTTTTTGTCCAAGTTCGTACCCTCCACCATGACTGGTTGAGAATTCGTACCTTACTACGTTATCTACTCAAGCAAGAGTGCGCATGCAAGAGCTACAAATCTCTTCCATGTCCCCACTCAACGGGCAAAATATATAGGTATCGTGCATGATTGATCAATGCATTATGATCCACAATAAATACTTTGTAAATTTATGAAAATGATTTTATTAAACTTATATATTACGAAACATTAGTATATTATTGGACTTACCTAATAACCTTGCTTTAAAAGTTTTGAGGAAGAATTATAATGAGAGGCACAGAAGATGTTAATAACAAGTTTTCTGATGGTGATGAAGATCAACAATTTGATGATGATGGCAAGCCCAAAAGAACTGGTAAGACCTTTTTTTCTTTTTTCTTTTTCTAAGATTATTTGATTGGTATTTACGACGTTCAATTTTCTTTGAAACATTACGTATATGCGATTTTAATATAAGATCACTTGTATTCTTTATGGATCGGAATAAGGCTTCGTTGTTGTTGTAAGCTCAATTCAAACTTGAGACAATAGGTTTGGGATAGTGCCTATACAACTTGAAATTACAAAAAAGGATGGAATACACTTGTAGTAAATATTATTGTACATAGATGGATCAAGGGGCGGACCTACCCAGGCCATGGCCCGCCCCATGCCCAATTTTTATTAGTATTAAATACTAAATTGTTGTATTTGTAAAGCATTAGAAAGGTAGCTAAGTTGGTTGTTTATTCATATGTTAGTGTAGCAAGTCGAGGGTTCAAATTCCGCAGGTCACAACTTGCAATTTTTTTTATTTTTTTTTTCAAAAAATATTTGTTCTTTTTACTTCGTACGGCCCGCCCTATACTAAATTTCTGGATCCGTCTTTGTTATTGTATGAATGTCGTTAACAAGTAATATTACAGTGTTATCTTATAGTAGTTCGTGGACATTCTTAATGATACTTGTATATATGAACTTCGTACTCCCTGCAATCTTTTTTGTTTTATCCATTTAAAATAAAAAAATGAATCTTGATGAGAAAAAACATTTAAAGTAATAGAAATTTAATTTTACAGTAGAATAGTCATACACTTCAAATAATACAAAAAAGAAAAAAGGGGACAAGAATAAAATAATAATTAATGTGTCTTTGAAAATAGATCAGAATGATGATTAAAAATAAGGAAAATTCAATACTTATTACGTGTGATCTATCAAAAAATATTACGTGTGAGTTTTGGATGATTTTACGGCGGTCGTTTGAAAAATGACTATCATATTATTTTAATGATATATAATATGATCGGTTTATTTTATCACATTATAAAATGACCACAATTAGTCTTATAATATCTAAAATGTAAATATAAATTTTGAAAATTTTAATCCAATATAATTTTTTTTTTTTGAGAAACTATATAATAAGAATAATTACATAAATGAAACTAAACATTTGATAAATAAAGAAAATATTGATAATACTATTTAATACCATTAATAAAGTAATATAATTAATTACTTGAAAAAAAAATGCCAATTATGAACTATATAATCATTAAAATATTATGGTATTCATATTTTCAATGACTACTATAAAATTTCTGTGAGTTTTGTTTAAACTAGTTATCCTTTTGAATTCAACTTTTAAACATTAAAACCTAAGTTTATTCAAAAATACAAGTAACTGATAAAATAACAAGGATTTTGCTAATGAGCACCTTCCGAGAGTTAGATAACAATTTAAAATGATTTCTAAAATAGTTTTACTTTGGAATGCATGTCCAAATCGCTCATTAATCGGTGTAATAATGTTTATTTCAATTAAATTTTTTTACTTTAAGTCATTTTATCCATCACCGTGGGGCTTTTTTTAGCTTTTAATTTGCCAAATAACAAAACGTTAAATTTTATTAAAACCCTTTACCTCCCCTTATTATCTCATACTTTATCAAACTTAATTGTCTCATGTTGATTTATGTTTTGTTTATCAGTGCCTTTTTTGTGTGGCTGGCCACACTGTGTGGTCGGGGTTATTTAATTAAATTATATGGGTTACTTATTTAATAAAGATTTGTTATTTAGGGGTTATTCAGCCGGTCAAGGGTTACTCAGTCAGTTAACACGTTTTCACCGGGGTTATTTATTTCGGAGTTACTTATTTAGGGGTTACTCAGTCAGTCAGGGGTTACTTATTCTAAATTTACTCAGTCGATTAGTACATTTTCTATATGAGAATAACTCCTAACCGACCGAGTAACCCTTGAATAAGTAATCCCTGACCAAATGAGCAACCCCTGAAAAAGTAAGCCCTAACCAAACGAGTAATCCCTAAATAAATAATTCCAGAATAAGTAACCCCGGCTATACGGTGTGGCCACCCACATATAAAAATTTGTGTTTGTTTATTGTTTGATACCTAAGATTTAACTTTCGTTGCTACATCTTTTTTTTTTTTTTATATAAGAAATATTTACCAAAAGTTATATTTACTCCGTATATTTTAATTTTATTTTAGAGATGATTATAATGTAGCCTTACGACTTTTGACTACCACAATTTTTTAAATTGGACGGTTGAGATTATTTGATTTTTTATTTATTTTTAATTAATAATTTTTATGAAAAATATTTTTTTAATTATTTTAAATATATTTTTATCTTCTATAAATTATTTTTTAATATTTTTAAAATTCTGAAAATAAAAGTATATATATGAAATAACTAAAAAGTGATTTTTAATTAAAATTTCTAATTAAAAATAAATCAAAAAATAAATAATCTCAGTCGTTCTTTTTTTAAAAATTGTGGTAGTCAAAAATCATAAGACTACATTAGAATTAGTGTTATTTTAGACATCTGTGAATTCATTGAAGGTGATATCAAACAGTTATAATAAGTTATTATAAGTTTTAAATAATACTAATAGATATTTTATATACTCCGTATTATAATAATTATTTAGTAAATTAATAAATGGTCCAGTCTAATACAGAAAATCAAAAACTCAAATTAAAAAGATTACAGACTTACAGTAGCTATAAGATCGTGGTATCATGACCCTATTTGATGGTAGCATTTGAGATAGCGGTTAGCATTTTGACCAGTCAAAACTCTACTAGAAAAAAATTGAGTGTTTGGAAAGGTAGTGGTTCTAGTAGCGGTTAGCGTTTGACAAATTTTTATTACTTTTTAAACATTATTTATATGAATTTTTTTATACATTTTAGTATTATAACCGCTAGTTTTGTCAAACACTCATATTATCAACTGTTACTTTGACATCTAACCTCTATCCATTACTAATTGACAGCTACTCGCTATCTTAACAACTACTCATTATTCGACCGCTAAAAGCTACCCGTTACCGATACTTTTGCAAACAGGACCCATATGTATGATTGTTTTTCTAATCTCTCGCATGTTAGGATCTCCTACGGAGTATTTTCTAAGAAGTAATATTGTCTTTTATTTTTTTTTACATTTTTTTAATCACCACCTCGCCATTCTCATCGGACACATCATCGAGCCACATAAATTTATCCCAACTTTTATGTTTCATCTATTATAACCTTTAACAATCAATCAATCTATCATTTAAAGCCTTAATCCCATAAGTGGGGTCGGCTACATAAACTAAAAGTGATTATTCCGTATACTTATCCACAAAAATCTTTCTCCTTCATCCCTTACGATCAAATACCTCATTCTCATGTAAATTCATATGCTTTATATCTTTCCTAACTTCTTCCAACCAAGTCATTTTCATTCGGTCTCCCTTTATCTCGTTTAACATCTCCATGATCCCACTCTTCCACTCGACTGGTCCACTATGAGTCTCTGTCTTACATGCCCGAACCAACGCAGATGATTTTCCCTTAGTTTGTCTGCAATGCTTGCAACACCCACATTCTTGCGAATAACTTCATTTTTTATTCATCTCTTAGAGTGTTCCCGCACATCCATCTTAATATGCGCATTTCCATAACTTCATCTCTTTAATGTGCTCCTTTTTAGAAGCCTAACATTCTGTATCATAAAATTTTTTTGAATAAATTTTTTTGTTACATCTTACGTGGTTAGATGATATAATGGATATTAGGTTGAATTTGGAAATTAAATTTCATTTGAATCTGTGTTTTTCGTGTATACTTTGAACATAAAAAGTCAACTGGAGAATTAAGTCAGAACTCCCAACATTTTAATCTGATATACTCCATAACAAAGTAATGTCAAAATGCTAAACCTATGAGCTAGTATATACGCTTCCTTTCGAGTGTAGATTAAATCTTTGTTGGTTGATAATACTGCAGGAACAATCTGGTCAGCAAGTGCACACATTATAACATCAATCATAGGATCCGGAGTTCTTTCACTAGCATGGGGCACGGCACAACTTGGATGGATAGGAGGACTCGTGACACTAATAACATTTTCATGTATCGCGTTTTATACTTCAAATCTCCTAGCAGATTGTTACAGATCCCCTGATCCTGTCACCGGAAAGAGAAATCATTCGTACATGGAGGAGGTTCGCTCCAATTTAGGTACCATCCATCTACACGGGTTGCAACATACCAACATGTACGACCTTGATTCATCAAATAGTTCCTTTAACTGACCTTAAGTTTTTTATCATTAGGCAGAATAAACAGCATTGCTTGTGGGATACTGCAGTATGCCAATTTAAGTGGAATGGTAATTGGTTACACGATTACTGCATCGATAAGCATGGTGTAAGTCCATCTATTCCGAGTTCAATCTCACAGTTTTTGAATGCACTTTAAAAGTGTATATATTTGCATCAAGCTAGCAAATTTAAGTTCATTGTCGAAAATTTTGCAGGGCAGTGCACAAATCTAATTGCTTCCACAGAAAAGGCCATTCTGCTTCTTGCAAGTTTAGCAATAATCCGTATATGATTGGATTGGGAGTTTTCGAGATCTTTTTGTCACAAATTCCCAACTTACATAACCTCACAATTTTGTCAGCTATTGCCGCGGTTATGTCTTTTGGGTATTCCTCAATAGGCATTGGACTTGCTCTTGCTACGATCATCTCAGGTACAGAGTAAATAATTAACCTACCTTTTATAGCTAGCGCGATAAGCTGATAACTAATTGAAATTTTAGTTAGTTATGACATTAATTTAATTGTGCAGGCAAAGGAGGGAAGACAACCTTAACAGGAGTAGAGGTAGGAATAGATGTAACGGTTGCTGATAAAGTATGGAGGGCATGTAGAGCCTTAGGAGACATCGCGTTTACTTACAGTTTCTCTGCAGTCCTTGTTGAAATACAGGTGAATATATATGTGCATCTGATCTGTGTTTCAATAATAAAAAGTTATGATTTTTTCTGATTATGTAGTACAAGTTCTCAATAGCCTTTGATATTGGCCTCAGGATACGCTAAAATCGGAACCACCAGAGAATCAGGCGATGAAGAAAGCGAATGGGATATCATTGTTCACAGTCACAGCCTTTTACCTGATGTGTGGTATCTTAGGCTATGCTGCATTTGGGAATGATGCACCTGGTAACATGTTAACTGGATTCGGATTTTACGAGCCTTTTTGGCTAGTAGATGTGGCCAACATCTTCATCGTTGTCCATTTAGTGGGTGCATATCAGGTATAAAACAACTTATTCAATAATTAATCGTGATTACCTATTATGTGTATTTGATTGAGATATTGTACACTCGGGTGCACCATATTATGTTTATTATTGAGCTGAAATATTTGTATGATGGGCCAGGTATTTACACAGCCTGTGTACTTATTTTACGAAACATGGGCCCGGGAGAAATGGCCCAACTCAACGTTTATAAACAAAGAGTACCCAATCAAAATTGGCAACAAAAGAGTGTTAAGCTTCAACTTACTTAGGCTAACCGGAAGAACCATATTTGTGGTGTTAGCAACCATATTGGCAATGGCAATGCCCTTCTTCAATGACTTCCTCGCGCTGCTCGGAGCAATCGGGTTTTGGCCACTGACCGTATATTTCCCGGTGCAGATGCACATTGCTCAAAGAAAGATCAAACGAACTTCATTGAAGTGGTGTATACTCCAACTTATCAACTTCTTCTGCTTGCTTGTTTCCTTGGCTGCTGCTGCTGGGTCAATCCAAGGAGTTGGCGAAACTCTTAGTACGTCCAAGCCATTTCAATATAAAGTATAAAAGTACAAACCTTTGATTTTATTCTTTTGTCTTTTAAGTTGTAATATGTATAGAGTGATTGTTGATTGATGCTCCTAAAATCACTTTAGTTAAATTAGTTCCTATTTCTAGTATAGCAATAAATATGTCAATGGGTTTGTTTTATGAATATGTTTTTATTAAGTTGATTTCTTGTTATAAGGGATTTATGTAGTGGGTGGCATACTAGTTTGTGTTCCTAAGTTTTAAATAAAATTAGCAAATTAGTTAATAGGAAGTACTATGTACGAAGTATATAACCTTATCAATAGCTTAAAGTATGACTCTTACACGTTGATGTTACCTGTTCAGTTAGTTAAATTTTTTGACGAATTATATCCAACACTTGAAATTAAATCTCGTCTATATTATCTACACATGTAACGGCCCAAATTTAATGGAATCTAAAATATCTATAGCTTAGCACATGGTCAAAAGATGATTCAAAGATAGATAACACTAAAGATATATATAAAAATGTGCCCTAATTCCCCCACTATACTCCCACTCACAGTCACCAGACCAACCCAACTTGCTGGGCTGCTAAAGTGAACCAAGCTTGAGAGTAGACTTAAAATTATTATTGTATTAGGCATGCTTAACTGCTATTTCCTACTTCCTCCGTTTTTATTTAGTTTATATCGTTTGACTTTAACACTATTTACACTTTACATTTTGACTCGCTTTTGTAATTTGTAGATATGATAAAATTTAGTCACGTGGGATCTTGTTTGAATCGTCTCGATATATATATTTTTATTAATATCTACTTTTTACAATTTTACAATGTTGATAGTTAGAGATATTAATCGTTATGCGTTGACAAGCGTGATAGAAAGATGTCAACTAAATAAAAGTAAAGGAAGTATAACAAATAAAGATGATCTCCAACTATTTTGTTCCTCAAGTTATATCAAAAGCCAAATGTAAGGCTCTGTTTACTTCACCTAAAAAAAAATATTAAGTAAAAATAATTTCAGTTCAGCAAAAATAAGTTTAGTTCAATAAAATTCAGTACCTTTAAAAAAGAAATATAAGAGAAAATCAGTAAAAATAATTTTAGTTTGATAAAATTAATTTCAATTCAGTAAAAATAATTTAAGTTCCGCAAAAATAATTTCATTTCAGTAAATAATTTCAGTTCAGCAAAAATAAGGTGAAGTGAACGAGGCATAAGTATATAATTAAAAGATGCTTGACAAATTATAAAGTGTAATTATTACTAATGGTCCCCTTAATGCAATTTCAATGGACCAAATTATAGTTTCATGCATGAGTCATGACTACTATCAATGCCAAATTAGTTCAAATTAGTACAAAGATACTTACCAAATTAGGATACTACGTGATTTAAGAAATTGATTATTTTAATCATAGAAATATAGAATCATTTGTATTACTCCCCCCATTTTTTTTTACTTGACTCGCTTTTACTTTTACACTATTTACTATCACTCCTTTGACCGTCTTTTGTAAATAATATGAAAGGAAAAACATATTCATGTAGGATCTTTTTTGAATTCGTCACAATAAGTACTTCATAATATATATCTTTTATAATTTTTACTTATGGAGAATTAAAGTTATTGATCGTCAAAGTTTTACATTGACAAGCGTGATAAAAGAAAGAGGTCAAGTAAAAAAGAACAGAGGAATTTTTTTTTTTTCAAAAAAAAAAATTAAGTTTATAAATATTGAACGACGTAATGGGTAGAAAAGGGGGTTGTTAAACGTCGCTCCCAAATTACTAGGCGTCGCTCGCATTTTTTCCTTGAAATTCCGTATTTACCCTTCGTATATAAATACTAACGACACTCACTACACATTCGCGCTCGATAAACTTAAAAATCTGAAATTTTAAAAAAAAAACACAGAAAATTCACAAAAGTAACTAATATTACCTAATAATACTAATACTAATTACTCAAATTATCATAAAAAATAATAATCACAATAAAAATTATAATTATCATACAAAAATTACATTAATTTTGATTAATTAATTTTTTTTTAAAATCGTTTTGATTAATCAATAAAAAATAAAAAAAATAAAAAATTGGACATCCGCCTAAAATATCTGGATCCTCCATGGTGGATCCGCCTAGAATTTCTGGATCCACCATGGAAGATCCGCCTAGAATTTCTGGATCCACCATAGAAGATTCGGAAATTCTAGGCGGATGCACACATCCGCCTAGAATTTTCGGATCTTCCATGGTGGATCCGGAAATTTTAGGCGGATGTACGCTTTTCAAAAAATAAAAAAAATTTCGAGGAATTATAGAATCCTCCGACGATGCCTCCGGTGTACAATTGTTGTCGTCATCCATCGCCCTAAACCCCTCGCTAAAGCTTAATAAAAATGGGATTTTATAAAAAATGGGATTTTTGGTGGTGGGCTCGAGAATTTTGGGTTGGATGTCGTGGGGTTGGATGTTTTTTTAACCAAGTGGTGGATCGAATGTGCTCGGGATTATATTAAAATGCTCGGCAATCTTTTTAACCAAGTGGTTGAGCCTTATATTGTCCAACTTATGAAAAGGGCAATATGGTTCTTTCATGTCAAAATGGGAGCGACGCCTGGTAAATTGGGAGCGACGTTTAGCAGTTCATGTAGAAAACTATAAATTGAGAAAATAAAATCGTAATACTAAAACACAAAGTACCCCGTAACTTTTAATATTCTCAACTCAAATAGTACTCCATATATAAAATCATATAAAATTGGTGGGTTGCTCCATTTATCATCAATTTATTTTTATTTTAAAATGAAATTATCCTACGCTTATATATGAATATGTATATGATCGTACTCTCCTTCAATTTGGGTTTATGTTCAGCCCAGTGAAGATATATCACTAACAAAACTATACGAGTACTTTTTTTAAGAGAAAACTATGATCTTTCTATGATTTACTTTTGTCTGTCGATATATTCTAGATTTCTAGCTATAATGTTCCAAACACCAACTTTATTTGAAATTTTAATTCATGCTTTATTAGATGAAATGATAAAGTAGTAACAACCCCTTAATTACAGCCTATAAAGTCCACATCAAAGGATAAAACGGAATTTTAGGTGAAGAAAAGGTTATTATCAAAGCTAATCAAATATCATAGAAAGAAATAAAGATGCTTCAAAGTTTGATATCCTCACTTTGTAGAATTGTTGGTCGTACGTACACATCATTGAACGAATTATTACTAATTTTTTTATTTTTATTTTTTTGGTATAAGAAAAATCATGAAAACTAACTACATGATATAATGTTATTTTTGACAATAACAAATCTAAAACATTTTGTTTCCACGAAAAGTAAATTTGTTTTCAACATTTCGTCCTACCAACCCACACCAAATATATAGTGATTGGTCAATTGGTAACAACTCACAAGTCAAAACTCCTAAGTATTAGAGTAAGTCTCGTAAAATTAAGTAACCTCCTTTGACTGAATGTGCGTAACATCACTATATCAATGTGAAAGGTTAAGATTTATACTTTCTCCTTTTTTAAAAAAAAAATTATCCCTTTATATTTTTGGGTCAAAATTCAAATGACATGAAAATGAATTTCTATTAATGAACAAAGTATAGTAATTCAGTATAAAATATTAATGAATTCATGTCAATGTATTTTTTAAAAATTTTAATATTAAATTTTAAATATTCTTACGTGTGTGGAAATTATATAGAGAAATTAATGATTTATGATATGTCTTAAATAATGTGAAAAGTCATATAGAGCAATTATATATAGAGGGTCGAAGGAAATAAAATTTATTCTCTTTTTTAAAATGTACTTCATATGTACAATTTGAATTGGAAGTAACACAATCATCAATGTTCTTTATTTGATCATTAATAACTTTTAATTATATATTACGGAGAAGTATAACCTATATACATATGATAAGTAGAAACTACTTACCAAGTTAAATTTTCCTAAACAAAATTAAACGAATTTACCATCGAAAACCTCACATATATGTATATATTTCTACTTACAAGTAATTTTTAGAAGTTGGTCGACGGTGCGGTGGTGACTGCATGTCTGAAAATGTAAAAACGTAAAAATTCAAATTTGCAATAAAAAAAAGAAAAAATATAAATAATCATGATAGCTTTAATTTGTTTTCATTTAAAAGGTATTAACTTTTTTCAATAATAGAGGGAACTTGCAATTAATGAGATCATAAGATATTTGAACCAAATTAATGAGCTAAGATACTTTCACACTACATATGATACTTATAAAGTTATAAACTTGTTGGCCTGGTTTTAAACTGATATAAACTTGTTGGCTTGAATTTAAAACGTGACAACTATTTAGGTGTGAGTTGTATGACATTTATAATTAAGTTGTTTGATTATAGTCACCAATCACCATATGAAACGAATTAATATTACGAGTACTACGTATTACTTAAGGACGAGTGAAAAATACATATGTCACCGTGTTTAGGGACAAACGAAGTACAATTATACAATAATTGAACATTGCATTGTGTTGTAAATATCAATATTTGTAAAATAATTGCAAGACTAAAAAATTTAAAAAAGATACTTAATTTAGGAGTTGTATATATAAGTAGCACAAGAGCCTAGTCAAAAGTGACACAACAGTCTCTCCCCACTTAAAAAATTAGGGAGAGTGTAGTGTGTGAAAGAGCAAGAGTTCTTTCCTACCTAAATTATTTCTCAAATTATTGTAGGCCAATAATAAATTGGCCTCTTAATTTTGCAAATTCAGATTTTGGTATATTTTGTGGTTTTTTCAAAATGAGAGGTAGAAAAGATGAGGAATTCCAACAAGGTGGTATTGATTCATTGGCTACAAATTACAAGTTTGCAGATGATGAGGAATTTGATGATGATGGCAAGCCTAAAAGAACTGGTACGTATCTTCTCTTTTACTTGGTTTTCTACAACTTTTTTTTGGTCCTTTTTTGTGCCTACATACTTTTGATAAGAGTGGCAGAAAATAAATGTAGTCGGTATTTAATCCTAAGTTGTATCTACTTGATATGTTATGAGTTGATTCGTACTCTGTAGTTTTTTGTTAACACCATTGTTTTCTTGTTATAACCATGTAATTTGGGTAGGATTGTGCTAAGTTTTACACTTTCTACATGCCAAATTGTAATAAAGTATGGAAAATTTTGTATGAAATGTTAGCTAACTTAATTC